CACCCGGAGCCCGTTCCTGAGCCCGCGCCCCGCGCGCCGCACCCCGAGCCCGCTCCCGAGCCCGCACCCCGAGCGCACGCTCTGCTCTGAAGTAAAGTACGCGCCTTCCTTGCGCGGCCTCCACGTGCATTTGCATATCGTTTGCATACATTTGCACGGCCGTGCACCCTCGCAAGCCGCGCCGCGCCGGGACCCGGAGCACTCGCTCGGGCGCGTCCCCCGCAGCGCGGTGCCGCCCCGCCCCCTGCCGCACACACCTGTCAGCGCCCCGTTCTCGACCCCCAGCCGGGCCCCCTGCGCTCTCGCCTCGTCCCTCTCCGTCTCCAGCGCCTTCAGCTCCGTCTGCAGCCGGCTCTGCGGGGCAGGAGGGTGTGACCCGGGGCCGCCTTGTGGGGTCAGCGCCCCTTCCACCCGGGAGCGGAGCCGAGCCCGCCCCGCCAGGCTGCTCCTCCCCCTTAGGCCAGCAGAAAGGGACGCAGTCTGGGCCCCACCAGGGACGGAACGCAGGGCCTTCGCGCTGAGCTGAGTCCCCAGGGTCTCGCTAAATTGCTAAATTGTCCAGACTGAGCTGCAACACGTACGCGATCCTCCTGCCTCAGCCTCCCAGAGTGCTGGGATGACCGGCGGGAACCATCACACTAGGTTTAGATTTTATTTAATTAAATTAAATTAATTAATTAATTTGTTGGTTGGTTGCAGGGCTGGGGGTGGGATCCAGGTCCTGGCGAGTTGTGCAAGGTGCCCTACCACTGAGCCACACCACCAGACCAGGGGTGCACAGCAGTCTCAATAAATGCGAGGTATCAGGTTTCGAGGATGGTTCTTCGGCGATGCTCTGGGCAGGGGAGGGTTAATACACAGTCTGAGGAAAAGGGCGGGCCGGCTGGTACCTCCGCAAGAGGCCAGCTTTAGTCTCCTAATTACAGGTGACACAAGTGTTCTTCTCTCAAAATAGGACGGCTGGAAACGGACTTGGGGCGCGAGTGGGTGCAGGGTCAGCACAGCGCCTCCCCGGGTGGGCTCTGGGGTGTCCTGGGCCACCGTTTTATATATTTGTACTATTTATTTATAATTTGTTTGAGACAGCATCTCGCTATGTAGTTCAGGCTGGCCTGAAACTCACGACGACCCTCCTGCCTCAGCTTCCCGAGGGCTGAGATTACAGGCGTGCTCGAGCATGCCTGGCCCCAGCCACCATTTCTCGGGCAAATAGTGAAGGGACACCTTTTTGATCAGAAGGTAGATTCCAAGAATTGCAGGCGTCACCGGAGAGTTGGGGAAACCGAGGCACAGGGAGGGAGCCTGGGAGCACGTGCGCACCCCCCCACGCGCGGCACTCTGGACCTCCCGACCCTCCGCCTCGCCCACCTACCTGGCGCCCCTCGAAAGCCTGCAGCGCCTGCTCCAGCTCCTCTCGGGCGCGCGCCGCCTGCCTCAGTCTCCCCGCCAGGGTCTCCTCGCGCTGCGCGGCCTCGGCCAGCCGGCGCCGAAGTTCCTCGAGCTCTGGCGCCGGGTCCGGAGGCGCCGCGGTGGCGTTGGCGCCCG